GGGTACGTGTTCTAGCTTAGTAAAGAAGAGACGATGGTGGTGTGTGTGTGTGTGTGTGTGTGTGTGTGGAGGAGACAGTATATGATAGTCTATAAAAACATGAATGGTGCAGAGAAAGTGAATAGAGAAGTATTATTTACTCCTTCAGATAACACAAACGCCAGGGCTCACCCAATGATATTAATAGGCAGCAGGTTTAAAACAAACATAAGGAAGTACTACTTCACACAACACACTGTCAAGCTGTCGAACTCATTGCCAAGGGATGTTGTGTTGGCCAAAAGTAGAAATGGGTTCAAAAAAGAATTTAAGTTCATGAAGGATAGGCCCATCAATGGCTATTAGCCAAGATGGTCAGGGATGCAATTCCATGCTCTTGGTGTCCCTAACTGCCAGAAGCTGGGACTGAATGACAGGCAGTGGATCACTTGAAATTGCCCTGTTCTGTTCATTCCATCTGAAACATCTGGCACCTGCAATTTATGGAAGATAGGATACTGGGCTAGATGGACCATTGGTCTGACCCGGTATGGCCTTTCTTACATTCTTGATAAGTGCTTGAGCAAGTGTCTGATGGCAAAACTTGTAGAGGACACAATTATTTAAGTTTGGCAGCACTAGAGAAGACTGAAAGACTGGTGCTAGTTGTGGGCAACTCAATGGTAGATAAAATTCCCTGTCAAACGTAAAAGCACATTAGAAGGAATAATTTGAAATACTCTTGCATATTGCTGGATTTTAAATTAATAATCACTTTAGAAAACATGCAGTGACTGCCAAAATAGAGCAAAAAAAAAAAAATAGGATGTATTAGGGTTACCATACGTCCGGATTTTCCCGGACATGTCCGGATTTTGGGGCCTCAAATCCCCGTCCGGGGGGAAATCCCAAAAAGCCGAACATGTCCGGGAAAATAGGGACATGCGGGGCCGGGGGTGCCGGGCCGGGGGCCGGCGGTGCGGGGCCGGGGGGGCCGGGCCGGCACCCCAGGGCCCAAGCCAAGCCAGACTGGAGATGCCGGGGCCGGAGGGAGCCACTCGGTTGGGGGGGGGGGCAGACTGGGCCGCGCCTCCTCCCCCCACCCCCCCACCCTCAGCTTACCTGCTGCCTGCTTCAGGCTTCCCGCGAATCAAATGTTCGCGGGAAGCAGGGGGGGCCGGAGTTGGGGCGGGGACTTTGGGGAAGGGGTGGAGTTGGGGGGCATGGGCGGGGCCGGGGCCCCATGGAGTGTCCTCTTTTTGGACACTCAAAATATGGTAACCCTAGGATGTATTTAAAAAAAAAAAAGGTAATATAGAAAATGCAGAATGTATTTTGCCATTATAAATCAATAGTGCCTTCGCCTGGGATATGGTATTTACTTCTGATTTTCCTCTCTCTCTCATATTAAGCACAGTTTAACTAAGATTAAAAAGAATGGATTTAAGTTTTTAGAGGTGAAAAGTACAATAGAACTGTTTAAAATAATGAAAGGTAAAATGAGTGTGTGATTTTCCTCCTTTTCACAACACAAAAACAAGCAAATTGAAAGGCAGCAAATTTAAAACCAGCAAAAAATCCTTTTTTACACAGTGCACAAGTAGGCACTTTGAAATTCAGTGTCGCAAGATACCACTGATACCAAGAGCTTAATAGAATTCAGAATAGGTTTAGATCTTCATAAGGATAATGAGAAAATCCATATTTATATATATAAGGCCTCATGCTTCAGGGCACAAGCCAACCATTAGCTAATGAGTGGAGGAGGATGTAATTCTTCCTAAACCCTATAGTAAAGTTATTCCATCACTCTCTGCTCCAAAGTTTCTTTTGCCTTTTCTTGAGGTAACAGAAGACATTGGATGAGATTCCTATGCAATATTGTCTTTAAATAGTATGCATTTTTATCCTATTTAAAAAAATGGATGAATGGCAGTGATTAGAGGTGGAAAACACTTTTATGCAAGGTTCCATAATTTAGCTGCTTCACTGGAAAAGTTAAGATCGGGGGTGGGGAGGATGGGATGTTACTACTCTGTGCATGCTGTGGACTCGCAAATGTTATTTCACTTAACCAAAGCTTGCAAGAAAAGCACAGCCAACCTTTGTTTCTTTCACACACTGAATGTCCCTTTCTCTGACAAAGCTATGCTGAACTGGCTCTTTTGCATTTCTTATTGTTTATCCTTGGTTAGACAGCTGCTTGAGTCAGATTAGGGTTTATTTAACTAGAGTTGTAACTGACAGAACTTCAAATTAGACATCAATTTGGGCTTTGCAAAGCAGCCTCTAAGTGGAGTTTGTATAGTTAATACAAAGCATTGTTGTCTGGACAAAGTCAGTGAGATTCAAAGTTTGAATTGACAGTGATACAAAGGCTGTTTCCTGGTTTAAAATACATGAACTCTTACCCATCCTCTCCTGCCCTCCCCTCCTTTCTTTTTGAGGCTGTTCATGAATGCTTTACCTAGTTTAAATTAAAATGACTTCATATTATGTAATTAGCTACTGATATCATTAATATATTGATGCACATCCTTTAAAAAGAAAATCTCATTGTTAGTAGCAAGTATTGTTCATTAAGTTCTAGCAGATATATACTTTGTCTTAAAACGAAGAGAATTTGCTGCAAGGAAACCTTTTTATCTATTAATTTAAGCTGTATGGTAACATGTCTGACTACAGTGCCTGCCTGTTAATTTCTAGAATTGTGCTTCTATAATATCAGGTAACTAACATGGAACATACTTAATGACTGACATCTGTCATGCTATATATTCCATTTGTGATTCTACATTGCAGAATGACCTCAGACTGCTTCTCATGGCTCCATATGTTGCCACATATTGTCTTCCCCATGATTTCTAAAGATGTATGCCAATATTAAACATTTGCTCTTTAACTGCATGACTCTCTTTTTAGAAGCAACCTCAGATTTTATATCTACATGACACCAATTGTGAGTGCAGTTTTGTTGCTGCAAAGATTGAAGGCCAGTTTCAGTTCCTTTTCAGAACTGGGCTCTAAATCAATAGAGCTTTGTGGAAATACAAGGCATATTTCAGACCTTAAAACATCTCTTTCCATTATTCATTATGTCTGTGGCACTCTGTTTTGCCCATGGATTTGACAACTTGTGTTTTCTGAAGAGACCCTAACATTCTGCTTACCCCCCCCCCCTTTTTTTTTTTCGTAAACTGATATGGGGATAAAAAATACTTTATACATTTATAACACATTGTGTGTAATACAAACTGACGAAAGTCAGGAAATCTAAGTTAAGGTTGACAGCAGCAGAATAGTGCATGTACGTGATATGCTGTTAATATTTGGGAGCAAAGGATTGGCTTTTTTCATCCTATCTCAATATTGATTAGCTTTCTTGATAGGGAATTTACAACTCTGCATGAGAGAAGGTGATTCTTCCCCCCCCCTCCCCCTACTGGTTCTAAATTATGATTTGGGTGTCTAGGTGTCTTCTTTTTTATTGGTAAAACACATTGCACTTAAACATCTTGCCTCAAGTGGATTTTTGCGGGGGGGGAGGGGGTTTAAGACTTGAAAGGATCAGAGTCTTGAAAATCAAGGAATGAGTTATGTTAGGTTTGTGTATTACAAACCTTAAGGAACTCTAAAGGAAGGGCATTCAATTGATATGAAATCTTATTTAAAAATTAACATTGGCTATGGCAGACAACTGATTCTCCATTTGATTTGTAAACTTTCTGTTTGAGCAGGACAAGCTATTAAAGTTAAAATTATGGAGGGGGGGAAGCAGAGGAACGCAGATGAAGAATATACGGATAGAAATTGTATAAAGCAATAAAACTGAATTAAAATAAATCATCTATCTTGCCCAGATTCACCAGGAGTAAGCATTCTATGTGAAAGAAACAATGTGGAGTGGGTTGTTTGATTTGGTCAATAATTAAATGTTCTCATGAGTAATTCATGGCTACATAGTTTAAATTTTGTATTGTGATTGCTGGTATGCAGAAGTTCAAAGGTGTAAAGCTTTGTTTGAGTCTAAATTTGTTTTGTAACAAATACTCCCAATGTAAAACAATGTAGAAAGTTTTTTTCCTGAAATACCACCAAAAAATGAGCAAGCCTTTAAATAGCATCTTTTCACTGTCTGTTTATACACTTTGCTTCTTTATTCTGATCAGATGTACACTGAAACTATTTGATTTGTTTCAGAATCTCTGGTCTAATAGTTGTGGGAGACTTATTTTCTCCAGCATTACACCTTCAGTTGGAAGAGACCAGTGGATCGCGAGAGAATGATATGAAGTTACTCAAGAGAATTGTAGATTATGTAAGTGTCCCTTTTGCAATTAAAGCATATCTGCCCTTTAATTGTTAAAAAAGCAATAATTTTGTGCCAAGTCCTGGCATGGTAGTTGTTTGAATTACTGTATGACCTGGAGTGTTCCAGACCTCATTTGGAAAATAGAAATTGAATAGGGAAAACAGCAGAGGCCTGTGTTCACTTTTTGAAAATGTAAGTGAGATGGTAATATAGAGGAAATGGTGTAAAAAAACAATCACTGGAGTGGGGTGAGGAAGATAGCTCAGTAGTTTGAGCATTGGCGTGCTAAACCTAGGGGTTGTGAGTTCAGTCCTTGAGGGGGCCACTTAGGGATCTGGGGCAAAATCAGCACTTGGTCCCGCTTGTGAAGGCAGGCGGCTGGACTCAATGACCTTTCAGGGTCCCTTCCAGTTCTGTGAGATAGGTATATCTCTATATTTTTAAAAACTCACTTCCCCAGCTGCAAACGTCTCCTTTATCATCCACCTCACAGTGGCAGTCTCCCTCCCCATCTTCCTTTGATTTTGATCATCAATAAAATATTTGACCTTGATACTGGACAACATTAATCCATGTCATAGACACATTAAAACACAAGTTTCTCTTTAACTTAAGAGAATGGATGTGTATGAACAGATTAGAGGGGACTTTTCTGAGATGCAGGTTATTTTTTATGAGTAGAGTTCTGTTGCTGTACTGAACCACTTGAGCTTCAGCTGCTGTATTTTTTTATAAAGTGTTTGTTTTTACAGGATGGAATTTTACATTTGAGTCCATGAACATATTCTTATTTGGCAGACTGTTATAATGTTTAGCACTTAAAGTACTTTCCATCATCAGTATACACTACTTCTCAAGACACCCAATTTGTCTTGTGCGTTTTGGGGTGAGGGGAGGATGATAGTACTTGTTTTGTGCTTGAGCTCATCTAACTCATCCAAATTTGAAGAATGTAACTCTTTGAAAGAGGTGCTCTTCTGTTTTAAGAAACCTTTTAAATGTCACCGTTCATATTAAACAGTTTTCTATATGTGCCCAGTAACTGCCTGCCTTGGTGGTTTTAGTACAAGTTGAATAATGTAGAGCCATTATGCTGAGTATCTCGCTCTTCTGTTTTCCATGGGAGTCTTTATAAAAGAATAAGATAATGCTCATGGTATATATATAACCTACAATAACTTTTTATTCCTTAAAGACTGCAGTTACCTTATTCTCTGCCAGCATAGCTACAAATGTTAAGTCACAAAGTTAATCAGTCCTCTCTTAAATCTAGCCACAATAGTTGTATTGACTTCCAGCAGCAACGACTTCTACAGGCAAGGTTACTAGATACTGACGTGTAGTCAGCATATATTAACCAAGGTCAACAATTTATGAAGCATCCTAGGATAGAGAGAAATGTTGGTCCATAGAAGCAAAGCAGAGATACTCAACAGACATAGTTGGATTGCTTTAGTCCTTTTTTATTTTAAATATCACTGTTCTGTAAATAGGCAATGTAATCGTATTTGAAGTAACATTTTTGAGCTGAACTGAGACAAATGTGAAATTAAAGAAGCTTATCCTTAGCCTTCCCTGTTTGTTATATGTATATGTAAGAACTCCTACTGACTTATAAAATACCTAGGAGAGCAGTCATCATCATACTCCATTTCAGGCCTCCTTCTCTAAAAACCAACGTCAACACTCCTACAGCTTCTGACCAGCTTTTGGAAGGAAATGTCAAACCTCCCCCCTTATCTCTATTCTTCTAGTATAACACAGCCACCTATATTTTAAAAAGCCTCAAATGAGTTTCTAAAATTTTAAACTTTTAAAGGATGCATTGTGTGCAGGAATGTTTCTTAATGACAGCCAATTAGGGAAATGCTAATAATTCTCTTCTGATACTGGACTTGGTGTTGGTTTTGATGTATACTTCTCTTTCTGTATGAGATTCTGCCACGCTTGTCTTCCAGACATTAAATAACCACTGTTCATTACCATTACATTCTATGTGGTATTGAAGTTCCCAGTTGTATAACTGCTTATTTATATGTCTGCAGTGTATGAATAGAAGTATTGCATTAACTCAGGCCCGCTATCTGGAGAAGGAAGAGAAATGTCTTCCGCCGCCGAGGTGAGTGGAAATTCAGAAACCTCTGTTTCTTTTTATCCCTCTTGCATGAGGAAAACCACCTGACTTTTATAAAAACAAAGTTGTCTGTTTTAGGCCTTTTAATAGTTTGCCAGGTGAGGAATGGGCAATATGCTGCTTACAATAAACTTTAAATGGGTATTATGGCATGTTATAATGGTTTATTTACAAGATAATGTATCAAAGTAAACTGAATCTTCAATATCAGCATTGTATTGTTTTCACTACTACCCTGGCTGCTTATCACACAGGTTTTCATAGGAGGCCCATTGAACTTGAAAACACATCTAAATGTGGGAATAAGATGGTGTGTGGTAGGCAAGTGACATGCTCAATGCCTAATTGGAAAGAGATAGTATGACTATTTGCTTTGCTAGAGAGCCATTGCTTCACAAGTTCTCTATCTTGCCATATATCTTACTTGTCATTGTGCCCGAGTTCACGGCCCAAACATTGCCTTTGAGTGAGGGAGCCATTCCTTCACTCGGCTGGAGAATCAAAATATTGAGTGAGGGTCATATTAGTTTAGGATGAGACCAGATAGCAAGTGTGAAAAATCGGGACAAGGGTTGGGGGGTAACAGGTGCCTAATATAAGAAAAAGCCCTGAATATTGGGACTGTTCCTATAAAATCAGGACATCTGGTTACCCTATATTAGTTACATAAATTGAGTAAGAGTTAAGGCTAGGCTTTAGTCTATTGATTATTAGGATGAGGGGCCTGTTAAGTTAAGGACTTATCATTAAATGAACCAAACCCTTAGCAGCCTTTAATAATCTATGTAACATTTATTAAGAATGGAAAATTTAGTTACTCAGTTCAACATAATCTTGTTTATTAGACCAGATGTTCTAAACTGTCAGACTGTGTCTTAACCAAGGCCGCCAAGAGCAGGTTCGGGCCCCAGCAAGGACAGACCGGCTAAACAGGGCTGACTAGAGGCGGGGGGAAGCCGGGCCTGGAATTTTTTTGGGCCCCCCAGCAAGGGCGGACCAGCTAAACAGGGCCGCCAAGAGGGGGAGGGAAGCCGGGCCCCCTTCCAGACCGCCGGGCCCCGGTAATTTGTACCAGCTTTCTCCCTCCACCCCCCGCCCCCCTCGTTGGCCCTGGTCTGAACTAAAAGTTAAGAAAAACAGATGCTTGCTAAAAGTTAAACAGGTTGTTTTAAGAAGAACAAAGTACCTTAGACCCCAAATGTCAGGAACAAGTACTCCAGACAGCAAAGTAGATAAGTTGAGGAAAAGTAGCAAACGTATGAATAGGGTGAATGGGCAAAATGATACTGTTGATATGCGTGATCTGCATGTAATTGATATGAAGGAACAAGTAGAAGGGTGTTTTTATATAAAAATGTAGTATGTACATAGCATGAAGTATATAAGATATGACAAGGGAAATAAGTGGTTAGGTATGAGCATGCACAAATGTACAGGTTATATAAGCATTAAAAAAAATCAAAGCTACGCCAGACAGACTCACACTCTCACTCTCTCAAACCAGTCTGGATCTGGTAATGAAAGAAAGCCTTCCTGCACCCAATGATCAGGTAACTGATCACTGCCCTTTTCTTCTTTGTTTTATTTATGCATTTATACTATGTTTTAATTAAGGTGGTAGTATATTCTAAAATTCTTACATTAAAGCTTGTTAAATTGGTGTGAACCAAGTTTTCCACCCAACAATTCTGATATAAATTAAAACTGGTGCAGAAGAAACAAAGCAAGGAATAAGTGTCATTGCCCTTACAAGAGCCAACTCTTCTGGTTTTCTTTTTTCAGTATTCGAGTAGTGGTAACAGTGGAACAAACAGAAGAAGAATTGGATAAAGCTGCATCGATTATCAGGGAAGCTGCACAGTCTGTACTGAATTAAACTGCTGATTTGGATATTTGTATCCTGACATTATGAAAAAAATGTTTTCCACTGTATGATGTCTTGGCATCCACTCCAAAGGTTCCAGCTGTTTATGGCTCAACCATTGATGGATTTGAAACTTTGATAATTAACATGGTCCTTCCAGAATCATGTAGCTCTGGTGAGGGGAAGAATGATGAATTTTGGAATTACTAAATGACATACACCATATGTAAAGAGTACAAACTCTTCCTCTAGTACTGTTTTAAATTGACTATCATTATTGTACAGCAGTATTTTATATTGATTTCCCCCCCTCTTTCGTAAAGGCCTTACACTTTCCTCAGTCCCCTGAAAATCTAAACACTCCATTTCTCTCAAAAGATTGCTGAGCATTATGAGAATGTAGGAACTTTTAATATAATCTCGATAAAGTAAATTTAATTTTGTTTAAAATATTACCTCTTTCAAGATATTTCTAATATATTTAAAAGCTAAATAGTTAATGTATTAAGGCATTCTTGGTTTTGAGCTATACTAAGTACTTATTATTAAAATAATTAAGTACATCCTATATTTATATACTAAAACTTTCTTTGGTTAACCATTCCTTGAAACCAGTTCTTAATTGTTGTCCCTTAATAGTCCATTTTCCAAAAAGAGAGATTCACCTCAAATACAGTTTGATTAATGCATTCAATCTGTAAGTATATGTAGGTTTGACTGTTATGGATGAGGTTTTTCTTATAATTAATTCACATCTCGTTTTAGAATTTGCTACCTTTCACATACTGTATGCAGCCAAGGGGCTAAAGCAGTGGTGGGCAACCTGCAGCCCATCAGGGTAATCCGCTGGCGGCCCGCAAGACAGTTTGTTTACATTGACCATCCGCAGGCACAGCCGCCCGCACCTCCCAGTGGCCACGATTCGCCGTTCCTGGCCAATGGGAGCTGCAGGAAGCAGCGCGGGCCTCAGGGATGTGCTATGTAAACAATGTAAATAAACTGTCACGTGGCCTATCAGCGGATTACCCTGATGGGCTGCAGGTTTCCCACCACTGGGCTAAAGACTTCTAGTTTGAAGAGATCTAGGAGAGATTTTAAATAGCGGGGGGGGGGGAACTAACCAAAATTTTGACCCCTTCTCCCCCACTATATACCAACAATAACAACGTGAAAGTTCTGAAGTATGATCTCTAAATTATGCTATTGGTTTACTTATCAATAATTATAATTTAGACTTTGATTTTCAGAAATGCTTAAAGGATTTTAGTTGTACAAGTCCCATTGAGATACAACTGAACTTATGTACTTAAATTCCCCTAGGAGCTTTTGAAAATCTCCACCTTAAAGTTATGTGCAGGTTTGCAGTAAACACAGATGAGGGTACAAACATAACACCAATCACTTGGAAAACAACAACTGAGGGAGGGTGACATAATTTATTGTAACTTTTATAACTATTTGAACCATTACTGTGTACTCCAGGACTTTTTAGAAAGGCTAATTGTGTTTGAAAACACTTTTTTTGTATTCTGGGTTGTTTTATAATGTCTTTTTTTTGGTTGCTGCTACAAAGACTACAGTGCTATATTTGGGAAAGAACCTTGTTTAAATAAAGTTAAACATATTTGAGTCAAAACTTCATGTGTCACAGTTAAGTTACTACAAAATTTAAATTTTTGTGTGGAATGTTCTACATCAGACACTTTTTTTTTTTTTTTTAGTCAAATTTTTCAGTACATAGTGAGGTTGTCTGTGTGCTGCCTTTCCAAGTATATCAAGATATTTTCATTCAGATACACCACCAAAGTCGTGTGGTGTTTGTGTTCTGCTTGGAATATTTTATAGTCATTCAGAGCCCTACTTCTGTAAGTGTTGACAGTATATTTTATCAGCAGCTATTGCCAAAATCCTGATTCAGAACAAGGACAGATTCTCCCCTTTTTTGACTACAGGCCTTGGGTTACAGGAAACTGTGAAGACCTCTCCTTTCTATGTCAGTATAACATGGAAAGGTAGCTCACATAGATATTTTTTAAGGATATGAATGGAGCATGCTCTAAGAACAGTGCCTGTGTGCTCCCAACAATAAACTTGCACAGGATGAAAACACTGCTAAAAACCTCAAAAAAAAAACTTAATCCAAAAATGCTGCTTGTCAATTACTCTACATTGTTAGACTCCTAAACCTTTGTGATACTCAGGTCCTGCATCTTATTTTTTCAACTGCCAAACAAACCACTTTGAATGGGGAAGACTTGCAAATAAGCAGGGGTTAACTGGTTAGAGAATTTCTGCTTAGGCAATTGACATGCCATTTGGTGTGGTCATAGGAGCAGTTTGTGTGTGCAGTAATTAAATTTGGGCTTCAGTTGTGCCTACATTGCGAGCTCAGACTGTGTGATTCCCTTGCTCGTGTATACATACGCTAGTTCTCACTGAGCTAGCGCAAGTATAAATACCAGCATAGCCACGGTAGCACAGCTGGCATTAGCAAAGGCATGGCTTAGCTGTCCTAAGTTGGTACCCACCGTTTCAGGCAGGCTTGTACATGACGTGCCTAAGCAGGGCTGCTGCTACCTATGCTGCCATAGCTACATTGTTATTTATACTTGAGCTAGCATTAACATGTGTACACAAGCTGGGGAATGACTCTCTTAGCTCATATTGTAGACGTAGCCTAACATCACAAGAATTTCTTCCCACAAGTGAGCTTTCTCTAAGGTTTCACCACATCATTCAGGATACATGCTTCCATTATATATCAGAGGTGTCCAGCCACTGGGAAACAAGCTTGCAACTTCCCTATCCCTTATCTGCTCCCTCTTAATTCAGTGCATGTGCTTTACCTTCTGTTGTGCAGTCAGATATGGGAGAATCTGTTTCTGCACATCTTGTAGCTAGGTCAACATCTACTTCTAATGCAACCCTTTCAAAGAAAACCATTGGCCCAAAGAGGGTGAATCCCACTGTAGTGTGTTTTACAAGGGCAATCCATTTTATAAGAAGCGTTTTAGTACACTGTATGGTTTAGCACACCTTCATGACTGACACTATTTGCTGCTGGCAACAAGAATAGTAACCTGAAGTTGACTGCACATAGAGGCCTTCACACAAATACGAAGGGATGGGTTAAGTATTTGTATTACAGGAGCACTTCAGGGATCCCTAATTGCTGAAGACCCCATTGTGCTAGGTACTGGACAAACAGTAAAAGACTCTGAAGAGATGACAATCTGAGTAGGCCTGGCTGTGAGGAAGGGAGTATTATCCTCACTTTCAAGATGGGAGCTGAGGCACAGACCCCAGGCTCTCACAGAAAAATCCTGTGACAGAGCTGGGAATAGAACCCAGCTCTCTTGAGACAATGCCTATGTCTAAATCATATGAGCATCCTACCTCCCAAATCTCTCTGGCAGAGGACCAGAATAAAAGGCCCTTCTACTGTGCAACAAGCTAGACCTCAATGCTATGCCATTCTGGGAACGCATTCCTGACTTAAATGTGCAAATGAATAAGCACACAGTATTCTTCTTAAGTTAATTTTATCCTGCCACTAGGCTTTCAGTTTTCAGTGAGCCATAATTTTGTATTAACACACAACTGAATTGTTAAACTTGTCAGGGGCAAAGTTAAGCATTTGACAGTAGGTGGGGGACATGTGAGGCATTTGACACCTAGGGCAGCATAGGAAATGGTTTGGGAGTGCAGAATAAACACATTAACATGTAAACATAATACTGACCAATGTTGAAATATTAGGTATCCAAGTCAATACCCCATTCACTTCTCACACTTTTTATTTTGGGCTATCTGCACACTCAAAGGTTACTATTGATTTATGTTCTGTTCACCTTTGGAAGGTTTTTCCTTGTAATTAGAAGGGCTAGGAACATTTTAAAAAATATATATAATTAAAGCTCAGATGCTGAAGCATCATTTGGTAGTAAGTGAGGGAATTCCACCACAAATTCCAAGTCCAGGAATACACCTGGACTTAATTATGGGTTATTTCTCCCTCTTTTTAATGTGCATTAAAAGTCGGCCCATTTTGCTAACTTCTACATGCTATTTAAAAAAGTAAAATTTCTCTTCTCAACTGAAAACCTGACATTACTATTTTTGAGATCATCAGACCATCCTTTTTCCAGTGGTGATAGTGTGTAATAAGAAAATAGTTCACCTGTGGTTTGTTGATGTAAAGTAGAATTGTTACAGCTAGCATTAATTGAGGTATGTAGTAACATTCAGTACCAAAGACAGGCTACAAAGCCACTTACTGTTCAAGTAAATTCTTCCCCGAGGTATAGGGGCTCTAGCTGTCACCAGGATAGATATTCCTGTGCCAGTTTAGGCAGATCTGGCCTGCTGCATCTTAGCTTGTATTTATTTAATTATTTATTTATTAAAAAGCATTATGGGCTAGATTCACAGATAACTTAGGTGCCTAACTCCTCCTTTAGGCTTCTAAGTCCAACTTTTAGATGCAACTGACATTCACATAACCACTGCTCAGCTACCATCTAATCGTATAGGTGCCTACATTCCAGGCAGTGGGAATACACAAAGCCACCTGAGTCCTGACACTACCCAACTACTTTGCACCTAAATTCATGTTAGCCCCTATGGGATTTACAAACTAGGCATTCCCCTACCTATCTTGCCTTTGAGGCTCAATCCATAGGCATGCTCTGAGTATGCGTGATATGTACAAAAGATGGTGGTGGTGGTGGAGCTCCCAATAGACCAGCGCTTTAGAGTGCTCATCCAGGATGTAATAAGGGGTTCCTCTCCCACGTGCACAGTCGTCAGAGATTTTTGCCTTAGCGGTATCCATAGGGTTGGCAGTGGCACCCTCTGGAGTGCGCGCTCATGCATCAGTATATTAGGTGCCGCCAGCTCTATGCCCTCTCAGTCCCTTCTTACCACCTGTGACAGTCGGAGCACCTTCCCCTTGCCTTGGAAGTGGATAGCAGTTTTCTCCCATCATTGTCAGCTTTATATAAAGTTTGTTTACAGTAGTTAGTCAGTAAGGGTACGTCCAGTAATCGATCTATCGGGGATCGATATATCGCGTCTCGTCTAGACGCGATATATCGATCCCCGAACGCACTCTCATCGACTCTGGAACTCCACCAGGGGGAGCGGCGGTAGCGGAGTTGATGTGGGAGCTGTGGCCGTCGATCCCGTGCGGTGAAGACCCAAGGTAAGTTGAAATAAGATATGTCGACTTCAGCTACGCTATTCCCATAGCTGAAGTTGCGTATCTTACATCGAGCCCCCCACCTAGTGTAGACCACCCCTAAGTAGGGGTTAAGTAGTGTTAGTCCGTGAACTAGAGTCCCAGCAAGGACTTAGCCCCAAGGCGGGGCATGCCCTGGTCCCTGGGTTTTAAGGCTTGTTCTGCCTGCAATAGGCCTATGCCTGTTAGCGACCCCCCATAGCAGCTGTCTGAAGTGATTGGGGGAGTTGCATGTGAAGGACAAGTGTTGCATTTGCAAGAACTTTCATCCTAGAACTCAGAAGGAGAGTGATATTTGTTTAAGGGCACTTCACCCAGCGTTGGAATCTTCCCACTCTGATTCCATGCCCAGCACAGTGCCTCAGTGCACAGTTCACTGCGCTGCTCCCCTACACCGGTGGACCAGAAACAGCTGAAGAAGCAAGTACTCCCCGGCACAAGCAAGAAAGATCAAAGGGGCGTTGGGCAAGGAACCGAGTTTGGGCCGCCCGCCCTCTCCGGAGCCACAATACCTCTCCGGCCAGCCCCCCCCAGATCCTCCTAGGGATCCGTCTCCACCTCCCAGGAGTGGTGGGGACTCAGACATTTGGCGGGGCTGTCGACATCTGAGGCTTTCCCAGCATCCAGGGATCAGAGAGCTCTTCTGGCACTGCCGGTACTGCTCACAGTGTTGGATCCGGCTAAGGCTACCCATGAGGGTAAGCCAGCCATGAGACTGCCCCAGAGGGCAGTTGAACACCATAAGTTGCCAGAGAAGAGGTAGCATTCCCTGGCTCCGCAGCCTAGGTCGCCCATTAGACGACCCAGGCTGCTGGCACTGTGCTTGCGGTCACCATCGGCACGGCTCATCTATAGGGAGACGCCAGGCTCCATACGTCCGGCACCGATCGTCCTCCCGCCAGCTGATCCCTCGGCCTAGATCTCCATTGGTGCATCATTCCCCTTGACTACAGCACCAGTCACTGGCATGGCAACGATCTCCCTTTCCCAGCACCGGTCTCTGGAAAAACAGTCTTCCTGTTCAAGGCATCACTCTCCCCTGGCTACGGTCAGCTGCCAGACAAAAGCTTTGACGGCCCCACCCTGGTCACCGGAAGGGGACTCGTCTGGATTGGAATGGGAATTCAGCTTCTTGCCACAACAGCAGTGGCCCTTGTGGGCACCTGAGACCACCTCAGCTTTCACAATGCTGACCTGGCAGCAAGGCCAGTGGCCACATTGGAATGTGTGGGGCATATCGGTTATGCTGATGCCCTTCCTGCACCACTTCTCCGTTGCTGCCTCGGAGAAGCAACTGATGTCACTGGGCTCAGTGTGCGGAGCAGAATCGGATCCTGGGGCGGAGGTGTGGATGCCCACTCCAAAAGAACGTCCCCCCACCGAGGCCTTTCCCTGGT